GGAAAAATGTAGTCTATAATTCCATCACCAAAAATATAACAACAGCTAACCTTTTGGTATACAACTATTCAGAATTCATACTAATACAATATCATGTAACCTAATTGTTTCCTTTTATTATGTGAATATCTCTAAAACATGCCACATTTTGTTTTATTAAACCAATGAATATGTAGTTATGTCCAATTTTACTATTATTATGTGCCAGAAACTATCCTCAGTGTCTTTTATATACTAAGTCACTTATTTCTCATGATAGTACAGGGACATGTACTATGAGGTAGGGACAATTATCAGTCCCTTGTACAGATAAGGCAGAGAAGTTGAGTGACACAAACAAGGTGACACAACTAATAAGAAGTTGAGTCAAGATTGGAACTCAGGTCATCTGACACCAAGGGTCTACGTTCATAAACATAGGCTTAAAGTTCCATGGATATCCTTGTGCATACAAATTTAAATTCTTGTCTGCTTATTTCTTTAGAATAAATTCCTAAAATTAGAAATTTTAAGCCAAAGAAAATGTTCAATTTAAAGACTTTAAATATATATTCCATAGGGATTTTCTGGATGGCATTAGCTTAGAGCAGCTTTTGTGGTCAAGAGTATTTGCCCCCATCTACCTGTGTGTAGACACCCAACCGGTAAATCTTTGAGGTCCCAGGGAATACTTGGACAAAGTGTGAGAAACAATATTTGGCTATTGAAGAGCTGTGCTTGAAAAGCTGGAAGGAATAAAAAATATATGCATGTCCAAGTCATCCCCACCAATATTGTCTTTGTTCCTTATCAATACTGTCTTGGATCAGTGGCTGTGGATGGTGGAGCAGGACTCCAGGACTGAACATGGAGGATGAACTTGATGACCCTAAGGCTACCTTGTGGTGCCAGTCGTGGTGACTGAGCATCCTACAGCAGAAGACATTTTGCAACTATCAGGAAACCATGCTCACTGGCTGACAGAAAGTCTGGTGGTTTTCTGGTTGGTAGAATTGCTGGATTCTCTTGGGAGGTGTTACTTTTACTCACAACATTAGGGTAACAAGCATTCTATACATGTGATGGTGAGGCCAGGAATTCGAGAAAGAAGAAAAAATGGAAAACAAAAAGAGTATTTGCA